TTTTCTCTGTACCCCACTTCAAATGTCCTGCTTACTGCTCTGTCCAGTCAGTGCGGACCTAGACACATCACCCTAATGACTCCACTCATTGGGGTTGAGGCAATGCTACCTTTGTGCTGCTCCTGTGGTCTGCTTGCTCCTGCCAGATGCCCTGCTGGCTGCCTGTTGCTGCTCCTAACAGCCGCCCGCCGGTCACTCCTGCCAGCCATCCCGCTGGCCCTCTGCTGGCCGCCCGCCGGTCGCTCCCACCAGCTGCCCTGCTGGCCACTGGGTCTGGCTCCAGGCCAAACTAGTGACTTAAGCAATTAGTGATTTCAGCTCTTAGTCACCACCTAGGCTGGCCAAAAGATTCCAGCTTCTACTGGAATAACAGAGAGAGTCCTTATGGAGTCTGCTTTAGGTCTATCCTTAGAACAGGGGGGAAAGGAGACATGTTGAACCAGTCTTATAGCTCATGCCTGGTAGGCATGTAGCTGGCTGGCTCAAGCCCTGCCCCTTGTCTCCCCCCCCCACTGGAATCTGGAAAGTGGAGGCTTGTTCATCTGAAACCCTTTGCAATGACAGTTTCTCTCCTGCAAGCACTGGCGTCATATGTTACAGTTCCTACATTTAGGGGTAGCATGGTTTGTGACCCCACAACAGCCAAATTAGTTACAATACACCACATTCCATTCCAGCAGTTCACCATCCAGCAGGCCTGGCTGAATTGGATTTACATACCAACATCCTGGATTCCTTCCCATCCCAGCATGAGCTGTATTTACATATCAACAGTTAATTATCTTGAGGGGGCTAAACAATTTGAATGAGCATAACCACACCCAGGGCTGCTCTCCCTTTTTGCTGGCTGCATTGCAAGCAGTCGTTCAGACTCTGCTTACACCTAGGTTAGCAGGTTTCAGTCCAGTGGTGTTGGAATAATTTCTATAGTGGGGATGGTGAAAGCCATTGAACAAAATCATAAACTCTTCATGTTATGAAAACCATTTCAAACCAGCATCCCTACCTCAGTCCTTATTGGAGATAGGGATATAATAGTGCAGCCAACTGAATGATTAACCTGATAAATGGGTGCTTATTTGTAAATGTTGGGGACACATCAGTTGGAAGTGATGGAAGAGGAGAAGGACCTCGGAGTCTTGGTTGATCACAGAATGGCCATGAGCCGCCAATGTGACATGGCCGTGAAAAAGGCTAATACGGTCTTGGGATGCATTAGGCGAAGTATTTCCAGTAGAGATAAGGTGGTGTTAGTGCCTTTATACAAGGCATTGGTGAGACCTCATTTGGAATACTGTGTGCAATTCTGGTCTCCCATGTTTAAAAAGGATGAATTCAAACTAGAACAGGTACAAAGAAGGGCCACTAGGATGATTGGAGGAATGGAAAACCTGTCTTATGAAAGGAGACTCAAGGAGCTTGACTTGTTTACCTTAACCAAAAGAAGGCTGAGGGGAGACATGATTGCTCTCTTTAAATATATTAGAGGGATAAACATCAGGGAGGGAGAGGAATTATTTAAGCTCAATACCAATGTGGACGCAAGAACAAATGGATATAAACCGGCTCTCAGGAATTTTAGACTCGAAATTAGACGAAGGTTTCTAACCATTAGAGGACTGAAGTTCTGGAACAGCCTTCCAAGGGAAGTAGTGGGGGCAAAAGACCTATCTGGCTTTAAGATTAAGCTGGATGGGTTTATGAAAGGGATGGTTTGATGGATAACATGATCTTGGCAACTAACTGACCTTTCACTATCGGTGGTAAATAGGCCAATGGTAGGATGATAGGAGTCACTATAGAGAACTTTCTGGGTGTCTTGCTGGAGAGTTTTGCCCACATGCTCAGGGTTCAGCTGATCGCCATATTTGGGGTCGGGTAGGAATTTTCCTCCAGGGTAGATTGGCTCAGACCCTGGAGGTTTTTTGCCTTCCTCATCCCTTTCCGGAAAAGGGATGCTAATGAGACACTTCGGAATTGCAAATCCGTGGGGGATTTAAATACCCCCGCGGCATTTGCGTTTACGTGGCTGCCGCTTTTTTCCGGCTCGGAGTTTTTGCCGGAGAAAAGCACCAGTCTAGACGCGATTTTCCGGAAAATAAGCCCTTTTCCGGAAGATCCCTTATTCCTACTTGAAATCCCTTTCCGGAAAGTAGGAATAAGGGATCTTCTGGAAAAGGGCTTATTTTCCAGAAAATCGCGTCTAGACTGGTGCTTTTCTCCGGCAAAAACCCCGAGCCGGAAAAAAGCGGCAGCCATGTAAA